AAAAAAAAAATCTGCGCATATGAACCTGCACAGGGCCGATCAGTGGGCTCTTTTCTGCTAATTTGCAGCAGTCTTTCTCAGCCAGGGTTAAATTGAAGAAAATCTACTTCCAAAAAGGAAGAGTGCTTCTTTGACAAGTGGCAACAGGCCCCAGAAATCCATTCCAAAGCTGCATTTGGAGATTTATTCTAACTGAATGTGCTTAAGGTCTGGAAAAATGCCTAAAAAAAGGCTACCAATAGATTTCAAAGCCCCTTCAGTTGCTGCCTTCAGCCCCGGTCAGGAAGGGGAGAGCACAGCTGCTCTTGTCTGCACTTCAAATCCCAAATACAGGATGGTGGGGAGAGCCTTGTTTTGGGGAGTCGGGTGCAGGCTTGACATGAACTGCACAGGCCTTCTTCCTCTCCGTTAGGAAAGCAGGCCATTGGCAGGCCCCAGAAGATCTGCCCGAGACTTAGACCCAGGGACCCCCTACCCACCCCGTGGGTTCTGCCACTTGGCCTCTTGCGTTAAAGACAACCTGTCCCGTTGTACAACACTCACTATCAAAGTTTCCCCGGCAGCTTGTATGCAAGCGAGTGAATTCACCTCTAGCACACTGCCAGGTCGCCCTGAGTCTTCTCATCCCCAGGCCTGAACACGTGTGGCACCTGAGGTCCCGGGTCTTGCACGAAGCACTGTGCAGCAGGGTTTAAGAAGCGCCGCCCGTGGTGGGCACGTGGGTGAGGCCGGCTGCTAGGTCTCAGGAGCGAGAGGGCAGCGTTGTCCCCGGCGCAGGAAACGCATCTTCTCGGCTCTCCTACTGCGCCGCAGCCCTAGCAGAAAACCACCCGGCACTCAATTTTTTTTCTGCCCCTTTCTTGCATAGCAACAGCAAATGCACGCCCCACGTAGGGCTTTGATGGCTATCAGAGTGCCCCTCAAATCTGAAGCAAAATAGCCCTGTCATTCCCAAACCCTGATCTTCATTAGAAGCAGACAAAAACCGCAAAATGTGAATGAAATGCTGTTTGTGTGAATGAAAGGGCTAGCGAGCGAGCCAGCGTTTCTGTGAATGAAGCTGGGCCTTGCAGCCGGTGCCAGGCAATCCCCTGGGCTCCAGCGGCCTCCTCCAATCAGCGGCCTCACCGATGACTCATTCAACAAAGGCTTGCTCAATAGTGGAAGATTCCATTTCAATCAAGGGCGGGATCTGTTCTCCAACGGCAGTGTGGGAAAAAGAGTGGGGGAGGATATCCACCCAGCTAGATTACAAAGATCCTGGGAGGAAGAGGACAGTTGTTATGGAGAGAGGAAAAAATAGTTTTTCAGGGAAATTCATGATCCACAGGTCAGGTCTAAGTGTGAATAGGACCACTCCCTTGGAGGTGAGCTGTGCCCCAAACTTTCATTCACGCATTCAGTTATATCAAAGAGCAGCCATGAATGTGCCATTCGGCTCGACTTTTATTATGAATGTACACTGAGCACACATTCAGAACCTCCCCTCTTTGCCCTTGATTCTTTTTGATAAAGAAGCAGAGGGCACTTGTGCACATTATTAGTCTCCAAGGAAGGTGGGGGACCAAAGCCCCATTGTTAACCCTTTAGCCAACTGGAGGTTTTGAGTTCTTTTATTGATTGGGTCAACAGAGGGAAATAGGATATTTAAGAATATGAATAACAGAATAAGTTACTGCGTGTGAAAAGATATATAATCAAAGAAGGTGATTAAAAGTCCCAAAGCACAATAGTGTATAATAAAGCCACTTAGCTAGAAGACAGTCATTTCAGAACACAGGAGAAAGGCAGAGAAGTCCAAAGGCTTCCCACATTTACAGGCGCTCTCAAGCCCTGCAGAGGCACTCAGAACCTCTCGCAGGAGAATCATTTGATTTGCACTGGAGAGTATGGATGCTTATTTTAGGCCCAAACCCCAAAGCCCAAGTATCTAGTTTATCAACCTTGGATAACCTAGAAATGCAGGCAAGAAGAGACCACTAGGTTGGGTAATGATAAACTTAATTGAAATGTTCAGTCTGTGCTATGATTTGAAAATGGTTTGTCCTCCCTGAAAATGCGAGTTGGAATCCAATCCTCATAGTAAGGTATTAAAAAGATAGAAAGTTAATCTAGATGTGCGTGTAGAGGAGGACCCTTGGGGGGTGATTTGGGTTAGATAAGATCATCAGGATGGAGCCCCTATGATTGAATCCTGATAGATTTATAAGCATGAGAGAAACCACAGGACACACACACACCCCTCTTCCACCATTTCAGGACTCTGTCAGCAAGGCTACCACCAACTGTAGGCCCTTGACCTTGGGCCAGAGCTGTGAGCTGAAAGTAAGCCTCTTCGCTTTATAAGTCACCCACCCACTCTGTGAGACTGTGTTATGACAGAAAATGAACTAAGATGTTCTGACAAATATAAGACACACCCACTCTGTGAGACTGTGTTATGACAGAAAATGAACTAAGATGTTCTGACAACAGAGAGGAAATTACCCTGCCTCCAGGCCCCCAGAGGGAGCTGAGGATGGACCTGGATGACAAGGATGAACTCAGTCCCACCCATCAGAGGTGTGGAATGCATTGAAGCGGTAGGGGTCTCGGTAGGGAGAGGTCCAGTTCCGATGAACATTTAGGGCAGGAGGATGACCCTCGAAAATTCCAGGCTTTCTAAATGGGCACTAGGGAAAAAAAGGTTGGAATTGGGAGGATAACTATGGAAACTTAGCTGGGTTGATACTGTGGAAGAATAAGTTTCAAGAGAGAAGCAGTGATGGTCGCTGTCACCACTGTGAGGGGGCTTCACGTGCGCCAGTAGTGCCTGCCTGTTTTAGACAGACAGCTTACATCTCATTTTACACGAAGAGGCCAGGCATCAGAAGGGTTACAAAATGTGCCAGTTAGGAACTGGCGGAGTGACCTGACTCCAAAGCCCCATTCACAACCATGCATCACCCCAACTCAGTGACATTGCCTAAGATACCTGTGACAGCCTTTCTGTGTACCTGGGGATCGGCCATCATCAAATAACCTTAGCAGGAGTATTGGCTGCATGAGAGAGAAAAAATGAATGAGATCATATTTTTCAGAAGATTGAATGAAACAAAAGATAAGATAAAACGGAATAGGTAGGAGTACAGCAGAGAATACAAAGCAGGCAATGGGAGGGTAAGGCTTTGTTTACAGTAAGAAATTGAAGCAGAATGGAAGAGGTTAGGGTGCAGTGGGGAGGGAGTCTGAGGAACATGGATGGAGCTATTGTTCTTGTGCAGAAGGTGGAACTCCTGGACCTTGGGAGGGAGGAGAAACCGACAAGCAGATCCTCCGAGTCTAGGTGGGAGACAGGAGTTCCCCCTCCCAGATGCACACACTTCCATGAAAAAGGCACTTTAAAGATGGGGTTAAGGTGACCCAAAGGAAAGGGAACACACCAAGGGTGTGTAAGGGCCAGAAGCCGTTATTACCATCATGGCTGAAAGGATGGGAAGGAAACTGAGTCCTGCTCGAGCCAGTGGAATTTCAGCTGGAATTCTGGAAGAGAGGCTGCCATGGAGACCTAGTGTGACCGACAGGGAAGAAACCCTCTTTCTCACTCTCTGGGCCCTGTAAGGCACCACCACGGGCCAAACCTACAAGAGGCCTGGAGTCCAGGGAGCT